ATTTTCATATTAACGGCAGTAATTCCAGTAAACAGTATGAAGTATAAATAAATAAATTTAAAAACCATATGATTAAAATGAGACTATATTGTCAAATTTTCTTAATAGAAAGTGAAGATAAAATTTTCAACATCTTAAGTGAAAACAACAATAAAATAAACAAATTAAAATGATGAAATCAACCCCATCCAACGAACAAGTCTCCATTTAATTCAATCGAGCATCCACCAGAGTCCATTTTTTGATTAATATTGAATTGATATGATAAGAATAATATAAAAATGATTTAGAACCACATAAACATCATCAAATTTAGTATATGATAATCCAAATGGAACGGACGAAAATGATAGGTGAGAGTGTGAGACTATTTTAGAATGAGTGAGTATTATTTTGAAAGAAATTACAACAATCAATGCAACCCATTACAAGGAGTTGCAATTTATGGGAGCAATGAAGACCTTGTTTGGCAATCAGCTATTGGCTGTTAATCACGATAGCGAATTGACAATAGTTGGTCGTGTCAGCTATTTTAATTGGCTAGTTATGTTATCCTGTAGTCACGAAGAGTTTGAAAAATTAGCTGCTGAAGAAAAACTGATTCAATGTAAAAAGACATATAGGAACATTAGTATTTATTTTTAGGGAAAAGTATAGAAAACATACCTGTGATTTGGGCCGTTTTCAGATAGGGGCATGTGCTCCACTTTTTAACAAAGTAAGACATGTGTTTCAATTCCGTTATCACAGCTGGGGCATGACGTCTAACACCGTTAGAAAAATTAACTCTGATTTTCAAAAGTCTCCGAAAAATTAAAAGAAAAATACTAGGAGATGCGTGTCATCAAGAAGACATCCGTATCATTTTTTTGTTTCCAGCCACCATGTCTCCAGAAAGTCCACTAGAAACGTGATATTAGCGATTTCTTTATTAAAACATAATCCAAATAGAGCCGAAAAAATCAAAGAGAACGATAATTTATTGGTCTCCTTGACGAGCCGCACCTCCCAGTATTTTTCTTTTAATTCTTCGAAGACTTTTAAAAATCGGAGTTGATTTTTCTAACAACGTTAGACGCCATGCCCCATTTGTGACAACGGAATATAAAAACATGTCCCACTGTGTTAAAAAATGAAACACGTGTCCCTATATGAAAACGGCCCAAACCACATGTACGTTTTCTGAACTTTTCCCTTTTCTTATTTTTAGCTATTTGTTATTAAATCATTCATATTCATATAAATAAAACAACATGCAAAACACCTGAAATTAAAAAGAAATATTTTAATTTCATTTGAATCATATGAATTAGCATTTTAAAACAATATGCATCCCAACTAATAAACATGAAGAAGTACTATGTGCCAACGTATAATCTGAACCGAGTTTTCTTTTTTTGCAAATATTTGAACCCACGTTTTAAAAAAGTAGCTATAGTGGGTTTTGAGACACTTTGCTTTAGCTATGGTATATGTAGGGATGGACTCGGGCCGGGCGGCCCGCCCCGGAACCGGCCCGGACCGGACACTGTTTGAACCGGCCCGGCCCGGGAACCGGGCCCTAGGGCGGTTCGAGTCGACCCAGCCCGCTAGTCATACGGTTCGGGCTCGGGCCCTAGGAATGGTGAACCAGCCCGGCCGGTTCGAGCCCGGTCCGGGCCAATTTTTTTTTTTTTTTTTTTTTTTTTTTTTTAAGTTTTTGGGTTGGGCTGGGTATTTCGGGCCATTTGAGGTGGTTTGGGGGTGAGGGAGGAGGGTTGGGAGTTAAAATTAGGAGAAGCCAAAAAAAAAAGATTGGACCGAGGCCCGGCCCGAACCGGACCCGGGGGTTACCCGGGCCAGTTCCGGGCCTCCCATATCTGAACCGTGAACCAGCCGGGCCCGAGGCCATCCCTAGGTATATGTAAGAATCTCGAGATGCCTCTATGCGCCTAAGTCCTAACCCCTGAGTTTTGATATATTTTTGTATGAAATAAATTAAAAAAAAATCATTTTAATTTAATGGCATGATGATCACAACAGTGCCAAGTAGAATGTCACGACCCACTCACGCTGCCCATCGATACAAGGGTACGTAGAATTGTAGAAACGGATGAAAATCCAAAAGCTGATTCCAAATATGGATGGACTCCGTTCGGGCCGGGGCCGGGGCAGGCCTAGGCCCGGTCGAGCCTCCGGTCCTGGATTGGAAGGCCCGGAACCGGCCCGTGTAACCGCCGAGTCTGGGCCGGGCCGGGCCTCGGGTATATTTTTTTTTTGCCTTTTCCTAATTAACCCCCAACCCCCCTCACACCCAAACCACCTCAAATGGCCCAAAATACCCAGCCCAATCCAAAAACTTAAAAAAAAATCAAAAAAAAAAAAATTAAAATGGCCCGGACCGGGCCTGAACCGGCCGGGCCGGTTCACGTTTTGAGGGGCCCGAGCCCGGACCGGAACCACCTTGGGCCGGGCCTACCCGGACCGGTCCCTGACCAGGCCACTGGGCCGGAACAGTGGCGGGTCGGGCCGGTTCCGGGTCGGGCCACCCGGCCCGAGTCCACCCATAATTCCAAACACTGCCCGGTTATGACTGTTTGCAAGATCAAAACATTAATTATGGTCAAAGAAGCCAAAATATGGCTGATAAGCCATTTACCAAACCAGCCCGAATTGTCATTGCCACTCAAGGCTGTGAGAACTCTAATGACAAAATCGGAAAAAAGAGGGAAAGTTCCCGAAATAGGACTAAAACAGTTTGATAATTCCAAAATAGGACTGACATGTTTTTTATTGCCAAAATAGGAGTAATTATTGTCAAGTTTGAAAAATACTGTCAAGTTTGAAGTATGGTACTGTTAAAACATGACAGTAATTAGTCATATTTTGGGAATAAAAACATGACAGTCCTATTTTGAAATTTTCAAACTTTTTTAGTCCTATTTCGGGTAATATCTCGAAAAAAATGGAGCAACACAGACATGAATAATGGAGACAAACATATCATTAATGATTGAAATCTTTATCAAGAAATTGTTACAAACTTCGGTACAAATAAGCCTAGATAAATTCCATATACTACGTACTCCGTATAATATAAGCTAGTAAGATACCTACCTCCAACTTTATTTTTGCAAATAAGAACATTGATACCAGCCTATATGACTATGGCACAATAATTTAGTAGTGCACATAAATTGGCACTACGAATATTGTTGCCATTTTATTATAACACTTTCAGTTACTATATGTCACTATCAACTACTATACGTGTCACTGCAGCTATCGAACATAACAATGTGATAATGTGGTATTCAACAATTTATAATCTAGCCATCACTATTTAAGGCGTTAGCTAAAGAAGATATAAAACCGAAACGTCAAAGGAAAACATTCTAAAGCTTACTTAAAAAGAGGATAGTTAAATCTTTGTGTCACGTTGTGTCTTATTCCTATGGGAATGATATGGGTGCACAATGTTAGCTGTGTTCCATGAAACACGAAAACTTTCAGAAAAAGTTCACTAGTATTACATTTCACAAAATCTATAGAAACTCTCCAAGTAATTATTTTTCTATTAAAAGATGATGCTTCCCGTTACCCCGTGATCACGAACATAACCAGGATTGAAGGTTGAGGTGGACAGGTACAAAAAGTTTTTTCGCATAAATTTTTTTACTAAAAAGGAAGAGTTTTCAAATTTGGGGTGGGCCGAGGCTTGAGGCACGGATGGACCCCCTCTACCTCCTCCCAAGACCGTGCAACATAGCCTATATCTATTGACTATTGTGCACGTGAGCATGCTTGTATCTACATCATAAGTCATAACACAAATATGAAAGTTCAAATTTGAACTGGTGTGATCTGGTAAATGTCTGTTCTTATATATTTTATGACTATGGAAGTTTGATATGGCCTGGCCGGGGACTGAAAAGTGAAAACCGTCCCAGTTAATATTCAAGCAGACTGATTGCCATTAACACATCACCTTGAGTACAAAAAATTACAAACTAAAAAAATACGGAGTAAGTAAACTTTTTTCAATGCTCACTTTTAGGTAAACTAAAATAACATTGGTTTATAGCACCACTATATGGCTGGTAATTGTCACTAATTACAAGTTCACCATATCACACCAGTTCAAACCAGACCAGCAAATTTTAGCCCAAAAGAAACCGAAAAGAAAACATCCTTTCTACTTTACATCTCAAAAACATATTTGGTGAAATGCTCAAACCTAATTTTTATTACGAATTTTCATAAACTAAGTTCCATGCTCGGGAGGATAACATCCAGATGTCTGCTAGCTAGTGTTATATTCCGTTTTGAAGTTTCATTACACTGTTGTGGCATATTGTATAATTGTACAATACACAATGTTGTACGGAGTATATATCACTGTGACTTGCAAATACTGTGCATTCATACACTAAAAAATTCTGGGCAAATCACTATGATTTGTGTTGGGATATATTATCCCGGCCTATTACTGTTCAGGAGCCCAAGACATTATCCAGTACGGAGCCCGAGCAGCTAGGCCCATTTCGGCCCATTAGGCCCAATATTGGCCCGTTTGGCCCATTAGGGTGGAGAGCACCCTTTCCCCTTTGTCTATAAAGAGGGAGCTTAGCCTCCATGTAAGAGGGACCTTCTTTCTACCTCCTCTCTAGAATAGCTTAGAACTCCATTAATGGGAGCTTGAATATTGTACTATGTAATGGTGAGGAAAGTCCTAATGAGAATGAGAGGGCTTGGACATTAGCCTAAAAAGTCCCGTGGTTTTCTCCCTTTCCGGGTTTCCACGTAAAAATAGCTTGTTCATACACATTTATACATATATTTACTATATCGTGTTGGATTAAACTCAACAATTTGCTATACATGTACAAACACCAATTTTACAAATCAATGAAAACATGTGCTTTACTGCTTACATCATACACAAAAAATGATTGGAAGGACCAAAAGTAAAAAAAGATAGCTGAGGACCAAAAATAAGAACCTAATGCTCATGGATCAGAATTGGATTCAATTCACAAGATAATTAATATAGTAATCTTCAAAATTCTCTAGCAAACACACAAGTATGTGGTTGCTAAATCTAAAAATAAGAAGTATCCTTGAAGTTGTTCAATTGACTGAGATGATATGTAAAAGTTGATTGTACTACCTAGTATTACATGTAGATATTTTTGGAGAACTAACAAATCTATTTGAAATGCTACATTTCACCTATCCAAAGAAGTGTGACCTGGCATATACTAAAAACAGTAGTTCTTCTGTTCTCTAGAAATATAAAAAAAATCATATTAAATAGCCCAAAGTGTCCAAGATATCGTCAAAGAGACCCAATTCTTAATCATAACCTTATTTCCAAAAGCTAAAGTTTGCAGATTATTTAATTAGATAGCTGTTATTGGCCAACAGTAGATATCAAGAACATGGTTACGTATCCATCGTTGGATAAACAACAATGAATAAGAGAAGCTAAAACGGTTAATTTATCATACCTGATGAAAATGACAATAGCCAAATGCCACAATGAACAAGGCGCCGAGAAGAGAAAAAAATTGGCTACAACAATTAGAATAATGGTTAAATTCTAAAATGAAATGAGTAAACAGGATTTATGTAATCCTATTAAAAGAATAAAAGAATAAAAATTGCCTAAATATGAGTCAGGGAGTGCATGAGCCATATTTTGGAAGAAACCAATGGCACCCCTATTTGAAATTTTTTATTTTGTTTGAACTCCTATTAAGGGAATTTTTAATTTTGTTCGATAATTGCATATTTACACAAGTAATATAAACTGATCTTTTTGTACATACTTGTGCATTCAGAATTTGAACTACATCTAATTAAACAATATTCATAATGTGATATTTTAATATGCTATTTGTGAAATGTGTGAATAAATTTTACTATTTTAGTGTAAATTTGCCCCCTCTCAACAAGTTTTTTGGATACACCACTGTCAACCAGAGTAGTTGATGGGTAAAATAGTGATCGCCATTTCTCACCATTGGCATGGGAAAGGGCTTCGCCACAATACCTGGGTATGGCGTCACGTATACCACATACTTTGTTTTAAAAAGCATGCATCATGAGGCATATGTTTCATCCGACTCTGGGATTAGGTTTCATCGCATAAGTGTCCTGCAGCTTTACAGTTCTCTTCTGTTTAATCTTTAAGTATGGTGTCATGTACTTCTCAGAGATTGAGTTGGACTTAATCTCGCGAGTTCTTTTCTTCTTTCTTCTTGGACTTCTCTTAACCGGCTACTGTATTGCCTCTTGAGTTAATACTACATTACTCTGCTTCTGCATATGTATTCTGCTCATGAGTTAATACTATGTCTCTTTTAATGTTTAAATTATGGGAAAAACTGTTAAATAGACCCTCGTAGTACATCACAAACGCCAATTAAACCCTGCAACTAGAAAAACACCGAATTAAGTCCATCACCTTTAGAAAAACAATCAAATTTAGAATTTAGTAGGTGATGATCAGATTAACAGGTCATATTGGTGATGTGGCTATTCACAAAACATATTTAAAAACGTATTTATATGTGTTAATTAGACATGTTTCCTTGGTTGCATGTGAATGAAATATTCCAAAATATAATAATTTCTTTTAAATATGCAACTCCAAGAGTTGCATGTAACAAAAGACTCTTCATTTTTCACCAAAAACGTGTATGAGACTTTCTTTTAGGAAGAGAGATACAGTTTTTGATAGAACGTTAATATATTTAATCATGTTGAGACAAAACAAACTATAGCATGAGTGTGTAAAATGCCTTATCGCAGTCACCTGTTCCTTGCAAACTATACTCTGTTTCTTACAATCTTTTCTGCTTCAGCTACAGTTAACTGCCTTATCCCATTCTCCTTCAGTGAAATTTCCCCTCCTTTTAAACAATCCTGCAGTTGTTTTTTTGTCATTTTCAGTAACTTAATACCTTCACTCAATTTGGGGAAGAAGCCCTCAGGTCTAATACACCATTGCCTGAACACACCAAACAAAACACCCATATCATTATCAAGCCTCTCAACTCCCCCATCAGAAAACTTGGTGTTGCTCCAAAGAACACCATTAAAAACCAAAGTGTCAATCCTGGATGCCAGGCTTCTCCAGACCCCAACAAAATCTATCTCGTTCAGAACCTCAGCAAGTACTGACATTTTTCCCTGAAGATAATCTAAAGCGGTGACAAATGATTGGGACACTATATGTCCTTCTTCCTTTTCCTGCCAATGTTTCTTGTTCTTCAGGTACTCTCGGCAGCACACATCGAACCCCCTTAAAACAACAGTTGACAGAACCTCAGCCCATTCCTTTCTGAACTCCTCCAGCTTCTTTATTTCCCAATAAAAAAATCCATTTCCAGGGGATTCCCCATGGTTAGTACAACTCTCAACTAGAGTTTCCAATAGATCTTCGCAGTCAAGTCTCATCTCTAAAAAGAATACATCCTCACACCACTCTTTTAGAACTGCCTCAAAATAACGAGAAGCATTGATGCACCTTGCAACTTTAGTCAAAGCGGCATCATCTGTCAGTGCTGTCAGCCCTTCAGCTTCTTGGGACCGGAGGACTATGGAATCAAAGAACTTATCTATTATTTGTGGTCCTACCAAGTTCAAAAACCTTGATCTCAATGGAACGGTTGGAAGTGACCGGCATCTATCAATGACAGCTGACAAACAGCGAAGAAAGGAACTGGTTATTGCAGGTGACTTGGTGCCCCCTTGCCCCAAAAGAAGAGCAGCATCTTGAACCTCATTTGACCAATTCCTTTCATCCATTATGTCAGGTTTCAATTTATCAAGTGAGTCATCAAGTTCGATTTCAGCCCATAGATCAAGCCAATCAGGTCTGTCACCAAATACAGAAAGTGAAGAAAGCTTTTGTAGTCCATCTTCCTGCAAAGAAAGAGAGATTCCTGATTGTGAAACAAGTGACTGCACTTTCTTGTCAAATCCTATCATCTGGTCGATGAGAAATAGCCAAGATGCTCTAGCATTCGATCTACGTCCAGTTACACCCTCTTCATCCGACAAACTAGTATACCTTGGGAATACTTCTTTGACCAAATACATGCATAAGGAGGTCACCATTGCAGCAATCCATTCTTCTCTGCAGCTATATCCAGAGAGCATAGCTTCGTCAACAAGTGGCTGCAATAATTCATCCATAGAATCAACATAATCTTGAGTAACCTTATACACAAGGGCAAAGATAAACTCTGGTTGATCAATCCACTTTGAGAAATGTTGTTGACAAGCAACTGATATGGGACTGACAAGCTCTTCAATGGCCCAGAGTGGCTGGTGTAGGTCTACATACCTATCAATCCCCTCTATTTGGCGAGATTTTCTCTGTCTCTGCAGTTCCTGTAAACTGCACAGTGTAAGAAAGCTTTCACAATACTTTTGCTTAAGCTCCCCTTGCATTGTGACAAGTGGATTATGGACATTTATTGACTTTTTTGTTTCTAGTCCAGATGACTTTGAAGTGGATAGAGGTGGTGGCCATCCAAGAGAAGCAAGAAGGGAGCGGTGATCTGCAATTGCCTGAGGCCTTAACATGGCCAAAGCTCGATCAACCCTATGATCAACACCGGATACAAGTTGTGTCCATTGAGGTTGGGACTTCGAAATCAATCTTAGAGTGCCTTCAGTTAGTTTAAGACTGGTGATTGCAACAGCTTGCATGTCCTGTTAGTAAAGAGAAAATATAGAAAAAATGGAAAGTATGAAAGATCTTGCAACAGAAAAATGAACAAATAATTCCAATTCCCCATGAATGCAACTCACTTCTGAACTTGTTGATGATGGGTATCTTCTCAAAGTTCTGTTTATAGTTGAAGACACAGCATCCTCAAGGTCACCAACCAATGTGTCAAGCTTCAAAGCAGTCTCTGAAATTTGTTAGCAAATTCCAGTTGTGAGTATGTGAGACTTAGACAGAATCAAAATGTATCCAAAATGTAAACTATCTAACAGTCTAAAAGGATGTGAATTAAACAACTTAAAAAATACACATATTTAGATTTCTTTTTATAAAATATGAACAAAATGAAATTGGTAATAGGTATGCTTATGACACTGGTAGAATATAAAGTACAGAAATAATTAGCCTCCCCTAAGCATTATGTAGTGGCCGTTCCCTATTCCGTTTAAAATATATATTTACACATAATGAATACCTTTTACCATGGGTTATTTAGTTGTCAATTTTACTGCACTAGCAAATCTGCAATGGCTTGAACGAACTCATGCACCTTCCGAACAACCTTCTTATACAGGAGAAGAGAAGAAGAAACGGGCATGATGTGTAATGAGGTAATTCCTCTTGCTCATCCTCTGTTCATTAAGCAACTTCTTCCCTAACTAAGAATGCATTTTCTATTCCAGGTGTGGCCAATTCATATGCTGGTGCAGTCCTACCGATATTTTCACCTTGTTTGTTGTTTTTTCTAATTACTTTGAGTTGAACAAGTGTATCTCTGAACTCTCTTTATTATCAAGTTCATATTGCTGTAATCAGTTGGTGTCTCGGGTCACAACCATAGTCACATGGTTCGCGCAACGATTCGAAACGGGTACGGGGAACGGGAACGCGGTTCGCTAGATCTGGCGTATCCGGTTCGGAGGGGGGTAGGTTCTTTCCGGTACGCGTTCGGTACGATGTACCTTATGTTTTGGTACTAGTACGTATAATAAAACCGAATTAAAGATTTCATAAAATTAAATAAAAACAGATTTCATAACATGATTTCATAGCATTAAACAAATAAACAACATTAAAATTGTGCCACATAGAAACTCTAGACCCAACTGAAAACACATAAACATTAATTAAAAGTTCAATAACAGAAAAAGAAATTTCACTCCATTAAATAGGCGACACTGGGAAGAGAAAGTGGCGTAGGAATACGAAGAGTCTGGTACTCTGGTGACCTGGTTTGACCCTGACCTAGAGCAGAAAACGAATAGGTTCGTTTGGGTCTTCAGGAACGTTTAAAATCAAACGCTTGGGGTCTTCATATGTGTAGTGTACGCAGAAAGGAAACGGCGATTGTTGATAGCATTTGCGAACGACCTGGAGACCAGTTGCGAACGACATGGAGAGCGGTTGCGAACGAATTCTTAAGCGATTGGAAACGACCTGGGAACCGTATCTGACGCCGATCCCTGTAGCGTTTGGAACGCTTTCGTACTGCGTTTCGGTACGTCTTCAGCGATTTATGTAACTATGGTCACAACATTTGGTATTAGAGACCAGGCTTATTGATGGAAAGGTGACTCAAGAGATGACGACGGAGACCCGAATGAAGGATTTATTTGAAACTCAGAGAAAACACGGGGAAGAATTACAGGGTATACGACATGAGTTCGCAGCAGTAAGCGAACACCTGGGCCGAGTTGATGAGGGCTTCGCAGAAATTAAACAACAATAAGATACAATGATGGCGTTGCAACAAGCTCAGTTTGCCAGTGAGAAAGAGAAAGGGATTAGCGAGGACATAGGGCACAAAACGGTATATACACCTCCTCACCTCAGAAACTCAACCAACCATATGCAGATTCCGGCACTGAGGGTTGAATTTCCGGAGTTCAATGGGAGTAATCCTCGCTCAGCGGCGGAACTATGTAGAGGCCTGGAGGGGCTTGTGCCCCTGCGGCCTGGCGGTTGTTTATACATATGGAGTAATGAGTATATATATACGTGTATATATATCCAGCCCTGCAGTTTGACGTCTTGGCTGCTGCCCATTCTTGGAATACGGATAAGAAATTTTTGGATAGATTTGCTGGACTTTGTGGGGTACTGGAGTGGGGTTGAAATTGGTGGATTAACTTTGATACGGAGAAATGTACAATTATATGGTGCAGCTTCGATTATAAAATATTGCATCCCAAAAGTCTTTTGCATGAGTACTAAATTAAATTTAAAAGAAAAAATATAATTTATTTTAAAATTTTCTACAAAATTTACATGTTCAGTGACTAGTTCTTAACGGTCACTCTGAAATACATTATAGTGACCCTTGTTCAATTATTAGTACATAATGACTAGATATATTTTTATCTAAAAATATAAGTAGTCATAATTTTGTTAGATGAAACTCTGTTAATAATATACATGTATTTTATCCAATGTTATTAAAATAAAAAGTTTTTCTTCTTGCCGCCTTTCGGAAGCCATGCACAACAGCTTAGAAGGCGGACACGGCAGCTTCCATATGACTCATAGTACATAACGTCGCAGTCTCTTTGGCACTTCCTCTTAGCACCACCAAACTTGTCGGAGACCGGAAATCCAGGGTCACAGCAAGCCACCCGCCTTGCCGAAGACCTTTCCTTTCTCAATATGTGCCCCTCCAAGATCTCCGGGCTGGTTCCGCCACTGTCCTCGCTTGTGGTTACGCAAGGCTAACAGATTTTTTCAAATATATCCCATGGAAGAACTCACCAAGGTACATCATGCTTCCTATCATATGACTGGGATTGCTGATTTGTGGTTTTATGAATATGTTGAGGAGAGACAACATATAAATTGGGAAGTATTTTGCCTTTTGTTGCTGGAAAGATTTTTAGCCCCTGCACATGAGGATATTGTAGTTGAATTTACACAGCTCATGCAGAGGTCTGATATAACGAGCTATGTGGGAATTTTTGAAGAAATGAAGTCGCTAGTACAGAGGTTTTTTATATATCTTGCTTCTTAAAGGGACTCAAGGAAGAGTTAAGGGCCCCTGTGCAGCTGTTTAAGCCGAGGTCTCTGACCATGGCTATCAATCAGGCCAAGTTGCTGGAAAATACACTAGAAATTTGGAGTAAGAAGGGAAGAATGGGGCCGAAACCAGTGGTGACCCCTTCACTGGGAGGTAAAATGAGCAGTCCGGCAAACTGAAAAAATAGTTCGAGTATGGGGAAGGAAAATAATGTGCCTCCAGTGAAAAGGTTAACAAGAGAGGAGTACAACGCCAGGAAGGAAAAGGGGTTATGCTTCACTTGAAATGAAAAATACAGCCCTGGGCACAAATGCTCCAACTTGTTCCAGTTAGTCATGAACGAGAATGAGTAGGGTTTCACTTGAAGAAGAAGAAGAAGAGAGGCTAGAAAAACTTGAATCAAATTATCCGGCTGACAGTGAGATTAGTTTGCACGCCCTCCATGGATGTAGAGCGAGCAATGCCATGAAAATAACAGGAATGGTGAATAAACGGAAGATTATTATTTTGATTGATAGTGGAAGTACGCACAGCTATTTGAATGAAGCAATTGCACGGGAGCTCCGAAGCAATCTGGAATCCACTCCTCCTTGGGTAATCACTGTAGCTAATGGAGACAGAACCATCAGTAGAGAGAGATGCAGTAGGTTTTTGTGGGTAACCCAAGGGCACGAGCTTGAAGCAGATTTAAGAATCATTCCTTTAAGGGGATGTGATGTGATTCTAGGACATGATTGGATGTGGAAACATGACCCTGTAACATTCCACCTTAAGAAAAACTGCTTGGATATCATGAAGGAGGGAAAAAGATCACAAATTCATGTAGATTCGGAGGTAAATTTGAAAGTCATGAGTGGAAAGAATTTTCGGAAAATGATCCAGAAAACCACTCATGGGTGTTTCGCTCAACTTTTTTATATAGAGGCAAGGCAGGATCATAGTCACATGGATCGCGGTACGCGGTACGAAAACGGGAACGCGGATCGCCAAAATTAGAAATCCGATACGCGGGGGGTAGGCTTCTTCGGTACGCGATTTCGGTACGCGGTAATCTGTACCCTTTGTTTTTGGTACAGTGAAACATAACATATAGAATTTACTAAGTATAAATTATAAAACTATAAATATAATTAATATAATATTAAACAATTAACTTCTATAACTTCAATAACATTAAACAAACTTAACAATGTTTGCAACAACAATAAAAGATATAACACAGTAAACAAAGTTTCAGGATTCCAGCAACAACTTCAACAAAACAAGAAATAAAGTTAATAAACATTAAACAAACTTCAACAAAACATGAAAGTGCAGCAAACTAGTCAATCCTTGGCCTCTTTCCTTTATCATTTGGAGCAACATCTTCTTCTAAATCTTCCCATTGTAGCACATCGAGTCTTGCACTTGACCCTTCCACATACGTACTTTCGGGATTAATATCCCACTTCTTGTTCGGGCCAACTTTGTAACTTTCGGAAAATCTTGATTGAAGACGAATGTTTGAATGAATGAATATCAACTTGTCAGCCCTTTTACAATTCAAACGATTCCTCTTCACACTGTGAATGTAAGAGTAAGTGCTCCAATTCCTCTCAGCCGAGGAACTACTTATAGGTTGTGACAGAACTTCTTTTGCAACCTCCGCTAACTCAGGAGTCTCTGAACCGTATGTTGACCACCAATCGATGGCCTCCATAGTCACCGCATCCATTTGAGCTGCCACCATAGAAAATAATCCTTTCTTCATGTGAAACCTTGCAAATTGTTCTCTTAAGAGCTTTTGTTCTTCTTGGTTTTCACCAATTTTTTTTAAAAGCCTCCATGACACCTAGCACAACTTCTTTGTCTAAACTTGGAGCTTTTCTAGCAACTCCACCGGGTGCTAGTTTCTTGAGATAGCAGACATCATAAAATCGTGGCGATAAAGCAAAACCCAAACAGTGCAAAGGAATAGTCATCTTCTCCCACCTAGCTAAAACAATAGCCTTTACTTTTGGAAAGTCCGAAGCGTATGGGTTTGTAGCCATGATATCTTTTATTTCTCCTAGCATGTTATCCATTTTTTCATAGATTTCCCCCATTTTGGATCCTTCGACATCACAAAACTTAATTAGCAAGAAATTTGGTTTTGTTATTGCAAGAATGTTATCCATATCAATCGCAAAATTCCTCACTCC